AAACGTGAAAAATATGCAACCTTAAGGAAAACACTTCCCAGGGTCCACTTCCTTATAAACAAAACCAAACAAAAAAACCCAACAGTCCAGTGTTTCCTTCTCTCATCCAAAGCTGTGAAAACTAAAGTGAGAAAGGTGTCTTTTGTGAGATCTTCTTTACGATTATCTTAACTTGGGGAACTAAGACAGGGCACCTGTAGGATTAATGTTTAAACCCAGTCACTGTTTTGACCTTTGCATTCTGGATCCAGGTACAACACAGAGCTCCCCCTTGAGCTTCCCTGAATCTGACCAGGCCCAGGGCGCACACAGTGTGCTGGGCTGCAGTCAGCAAGGGGGAAAGGCAGCAGAGATGCACTGATTCTTGCTGGTCATGAGAACAAAGCCCATCTTCAGGGCACCCTGAAGGTGGCAGAAGTGGCTGTAGCAAGCAAAGTTCTCCAAGGAGGGGTCTAGGGTCACTGATACCGGGTCAAGGTCATTCACCTGCATGTCTCTGGGCTCTTCTGAATCCTAAAATCAAGCAGCAGAGAGGGAGAGCTGAGAAACCACAAGCAGAGTCTCCACAGCCGGATCCAGTGCAGACACAGGGACGTACCCTGCTGTCCATACCTGCCCGAACTGGTGAAACTGCCCGGCAATTGGGGCAAGAAAGGAGTCAGGGCTGCAGTGTTTGCCCTCATGTCCCTGCAGGAGTCAATGGGGAACTGAAACATTCCCAGCACAGGTCGTCTCATTGGGGAGCACCTGAATCCTGTCACAAACTTGCTAGTCTTCTTGTGCATTGGGATGGTTTTTTCCTGCACTCTCATTAAGGCTTCCTTAAAGTACAGCCAGGTCTCCTGGACTCCTCTCCCCCTCAGTCTGGCTTCCCTGGGGATCCTGCCCATGAGTTCCCTGAGTGAGTTGAAGTCTGATTTTCTGAAATCCAGGGTCCTTACTGTACTGCTCTCCATCCTTTCTTTCCTCAGGACCCTGAACTCAATCATCTCATGGTCACTGCTGCCCAAGTTGCCATCCCCTATATTACATTCCCCACCAATTCTTCCCTGTTTGTGAGCAGCGGGTCAAGAAGAGCATGGCCCCTAGTTGGTGGCTCCAGTACTTGGACCAGGAAGTTGTCCCCAACACTCTCCAAAAATGTCTTGGATTGCCTGTGCACTGCTGTATTGCACTCCCAGCAGACGTCGGGGTGACTGAAGTCCCCCATGAGAACCAGGACCTGTGTTCAGGATTCTTCTTCTAGTTGTCTGAAGAAGGCCTCATTTACGTCATCTTTCTGGTCTTGTGGTCCATAGCATGTCCCCACCACAACATCACCCTTGTTGCTCTCCCCTCTAATCTTAACCCAGCGACTGTCAACAGGGCTATCTCCAGTTTCATACTGGAGCACTGAGCTATCATATGGCTCTTTTACATACAGCACAACTCCTCCTCCTCTTCTCCCCTATGTGCCCTTCTTGAACAGTTTGTAGCCAACCTTGACAGCGCTCCAGTCATGTGAGCTCCCACCACGTCTCTGTTATTCCAGTCATGTCGTAGCCCCATGACTGTGCGAGGACTTCCAGTTCTTCCTGCTTGTTTCCGTGGCTAAGTGCATTCGTGTACAGGTAACCACTTGATTGTCCTGATTTCTCAGGGAGTATGAGATCAGCTCCCCTGTTTCCTGCTGCTGCTTTCTCTTCCTCCAGGTCTTCTGCTTCCCCACTTACCTCAGGGCTTTGGTCTCCATCCCCCTGAGCTACTACATGGATCAACAGGATCTGCCCACCAGGGACCTGGATCTGCAGGGCTCCCCCAAAAGGACAGGAAACCTCTCACATCTATTGCTGAGGAAGGTGCCTTGGTCTGGAACCGTGTCTGTGACCTCTCCCAGCCACGCAGTTGCTGCAGTAAAAGACATTGCCCCCAGACCTGGCCTCCAGTACGGTCACTGTCAAGAGTGGTAGGTCTCTGCCCTAGATGATAAAGGCTGATTGCCCCGGCCCTGAGACCAGGCTCAGCAGGTAGCACCACAGCTGTCTCCTTTACAATCTAATGCAGGCCCAGTCTCCTTTGCGTTGGGTATGGTCCACTGGGCCCAGTGTCCAGGTGAACCCCCTCAGAGTGCAAACAACAGAGGTTGCATCATCTGTCCCATCTTAGTGCTAGCAGCGGTCTCAGCCATGGCACAGCGTGTCCCAGCACAGCCACGAGCCCTGATCTTTCTACTCCCCTCACCTCTCTTGCTGCATCTCATCTCCCAGCTCTGAGCAGCAGGCAAATCAGAGCTATGCTGGGCTGTCCAGAAGGGGCTGTTGCTCCTCAGCTTACCCAAGCCAGCAGGACCACAGTGCCCAAGGCAGAGAAGGACCCAGAGCTCTGAGGTCAAGTCTTGCTCCAGACTCCTGCCAGTGTCTGCCCCCCTTAACCCAGCTGTAACCACGTCCCTGCTCTTTGCCGTGGGGAGTCCATGGTGGCTGGATGGGATGGTGGCAAGTTGCCCCTGGTGCAATGCTGATGATGTTACACCCAGGATGACTTGTGGGGGTGGTTATTTTACCCAGAGAAGTACAAGAGAATCTACAGCAACTGTCTCTGAACTATACATCAGCTTATTGGGATATTATGACGCCAGCAATATTAGCAAGAGCAGCTGCGTACAGCAGACAACACGCAGGCATACTCACAAGTGGGTAGCCAGGTATCAGGACCCTCAGAGTCCGTCTTCATGGTTTGAGGCAGTTTCCAGACTTCCTCACCTCTGCCTTTGTGTGAGGAAGTTTTATACAGTTCAGGTGCAAATTTTTGTATTCCTGCTTGGCCCTCTGAGATAAGGATCTCGGTCAGTCTCGTACAGAGCAAACACCCTCCCTTCTGTGCTGCCAGGGCACCCTGCTGGCTTTAAGCAGCCTTGGGGAGCTGTGGGATATGGGCTGAATAGAAGTTATCTGGGCAGCCTCAACCCTGGCATTTCCTAGCTTTGACTCTGCAGCCATAATGCTTGCTTGCTAGTTTTTTGTATGTGTATTAGACCGTAACTTCCTTTGGGAAAGAACTGAGGCTGATTGACTGCATGTGAACTCCCTTCCCCCTTTCCATCGCCCTATCAGTGATCCCAGGGATGACACCACAACAGAGATATCCCCAAATTGCATGCAACTGCTTTGTCAAGGTGCAGGCAGGGGACTAACTGCCCACTGGAATGGATGCAGTGGCTGAGACTGCAGGAGACAGAAGATGTCCCTTTGCTTGTGCTGCAAAGAGAGACCCCAGGGTAGGGGCATTTCTCCCAGAACTGCCTGCATGGGGCCAAGGAGAGGCCTGTGGATCACTTGGGAGCAGCAGGTCCCTGGGTCGGGGGGATCAGGGACAACATCTCCGGGCCCTTCCTGGGGTTTCCCCAATGCTGCCTCTACAGGACAGTGCTGCTGTGATGGGCTCAGGAGTGAGTAGAGCATACACACTCTGACCGTGATGGGAGCCCAGAACTACCAGTAACATTTACTAAAGGCTCTGACACGAAATGTTGGCAGGATTTCTTCTCTTCAGACCTGGACCAAGCAGTCACAGGCAATCCTTTACTGCAGGAGCTCCCAAGATCCCCACTTCCAACTCTCACACAGCCCCAAGGCCCAAGACCAAAACATGAAGACTGCGCTGTGCCAGGGAGATGAGGGCACCGCCAATGCCCTGCCACTGCAAGAGCAGGGCAGCACTTGGGTCACACACTCCCAGGAGCTCCCAGGGGGAGGCCCTGCAGCCATGGCAGAGGAAGGGGGAAGCCAGCATGGCTTAATGGACAGGCACAAACGAGGTATGAAATTGTTCTGAACAACAAATGAGTGCAAGAAATTTGAGCCACCCACAAGTGACCTTTACACAAGAAAACAAACAGGAGTGGACACCTCCCATGCTACCTTTGTAATAAGGAGTGGGTAATACTGAGTGGGGCCCTGCCGGGGGAGATAAATGTCTGTGATACTAGTCACAGGAAGGAGAATATGGACCCATTTCTCTTTTACCCTCAATCACTGGAGAGCACCTGGCTGTGGATCAGGCTCCTCCTGCAGTGATGGGCAGCAGCACAGAGGCTGTGAAGGGGTTGCTTAGGCAGAGGCCCTCTAGACAGTGGGGGCCTAAAAGTGTAAAGAGGTTTTGATTTTGGGTTTCTGCCTCTCAGTCCCCTCTGCCCCTTGCCCCCCCCGGGTTTGGGTTTGTCTGGACCTTTATTCTCCACCAGCTGCTAAGCTCCTTAGCACTGGTAGTTTTGGAAACACCTACGCGTGGGTCGCACGATAAACCCAGAGATTTCAAAAATGAAATCTGTAATGTAAACACTGTTCTGATCTGTTGTAGCCCGAGTTCTTTGCAACACAAGAATGGCTCTAGTACTTTTTCTGCAGTCAAAACAGGAGTGAAAGGTAAGAGTTGGCAAGGGTGCTTTGAGTCTAAAAAGGATGAGAACCACTGATCTAGACAGAGAGACGTAGTTAGCCATGTTCATCTGAAGTCAGGCAGAAGGCAGGGTAGAGATGTATCTTATAAACTCAGGGGGGCTCAGCCCCCCCACCCATGGGCCACATTGGGCCTGCAGAACCTGGGGATACCCACAGGTCTAGAAATTGTGTGGTCGGTGAGTGGTGCCAGCTGTTCGACTAACAGCTCTCCCACCATTGAATGATTAGATATGGGGGAGCCGCACACAGTAGAATAATGAATTGGGGAGATTGGGGCACCAACTATGGGCAGAAGGAGGGATAAAGTTGGGGGCAGGATTGAGAAAAAAATAGGAGCCACTGGGCTGGCAGGAACAAAGGGAGTGATGCTGCCCCCACCTGCACAGCAGTGCCCAGGGTGCATCCAGGGCCACTTGTCCAGTCCAACCCCACATGCAGCCCCAGAACTGGTGCATAGCCCTGGACTCACACACCAGAAAGCTTGAGCACCACTGGACTCACTGATTCCAAAATGTATCAGATTTTATCTGCAAGAGCTCAGCTCATCAGAAGCAATGAAGGAAGTGCAGGAAACAGACTGTCCGACAATTTTTTTTAATATAAGACAGGGAGCAGAGGAACAAGTGGGGAGCTGGGGGGGTGAAGACATGGGGTGTAAGAAGCCAATAAAGCAACTAAGTTATAAACCCAGGGAAACTGCAGAAAGATGATTTTCAAGTGGGCAATGATGTGAATATGGGGATTGGGAGATGAACCCTGAGGCGCAGGACAGCAACAGGGTCCAGGCTGAAGTAGCTCTATTGGAGGGACTGGCAGTCGGGCAGGGCTGGGAGGGGACAGCGTGTGCCACATGTGTCATGGCAGTGACAGCGATTCCCTCAGGGCTGGGCTGGGACCGGGCACAAGATCAAGGGAGCTGTGTTGGTGCCATCAAAGACACCAGTATAGAAATATGGGCGCAGGATCCCGGAGAAGGTGTCAGTGAAAGTGAAGAGGTGGGACCGATCAGTCACGTTGTAAAATGAGACCTTGCCCGAGTCATAGTCCAGGAAAACCCCCATCCGTGTGGGCTGCACCCGCAGGGGGACAGGCGTTGAGGGAGAGGTGAGAGCCTCGTATTTCCCATCCTGCAACCACAGAGTCCAGTATCCTTCCTTAGGTGCCAGTATGGCCCCCCCCTTCCTGTCCACAGACTCCCTGCACACGCCCAGAGCCCAGGCCGACTTGTCTCCCACCTCCACCTCCCAGTAGTGCCTCCCACCTGTGAACCCCTCAGAGCCCAGGACTTCTGCGTCAGTGTCATATCTCTCAGGGTCCCAGTAGTGCCTCCCACCTGTGAACCCCTCACAGCCCAGGACTTCTGCATCAGTGTCATATCTCTCAGGGATGTCAGGCAGATCCTGTTGCGTGTCCGTGTCCCTCGCACATTTCCGATCCTCAGACAGGACGAGGTAGGCATTTGCCGTGTCTGGGTCGAAGGTCACGTCCACTGGGGAGAGAGTCACAGGTCAGGGCTGGGGCAGGCGAGTCCCAGGGATCACAGGGAACTCACTGCATCTCAGGAATCGCTGGTCAGTCCCTGCCTGTGAAATCACCGTTGCACGGAGGGGACATGGGGAGAACTGTAAGCGACTCCAGGGGCAAAGTGGGATATTCCCACCAGGCCTCCTCACCCCCTGGAACAGAACGGGGGCATCGGTGGCAGGTGCTGAGCCCACAAAGAGGAGAGGGGAAAGCGCCATGGGGTGGGGGCAGGCCAGGCACAAAGAAGGGGGAGGGACATGGGAAAATATCATAATAGCAGGTTGGTGCCTGCCTCTGCCCACCCCTGGCTGGGCTGCTCTGTCCCAGCTGAGCCCCTCCATGTCCCAGCCCCATGGGCACAGAGCTGTACCCAGGGCAGCCCCACTGCCAGCTCTAACTCTCACACAGCCCAGCCCAGCCCAGGGGAGGGTTGGGAGTCCAGGCTGTGCCGACCTGTTTTCAGGAAACACTGACAACCGAGCGCAAGAGCCCATTTCAAATGACTATGGGGGCACGGAGGGGGGAGTAGGCATTTCCCCACTCACTGCCCCTCCCCTTGGGCTCAGCCACACCATCAGCAAGTCCCCGTTCACCCCATGCAGTGCACCTGCTCTAGGGGTCTGTACTGGGGGTCACGTACTGGGCCAAGGACATCCTGTGCAGACAGGGCCTGGGGCACTGCTGGGACAGGGGTCTTTTGCCCACCAAGTATTACACAGTCCTATCCCCATGCGTCACAGGCAGATTGGGATCTGCAAACCAATATGAACAATTTAGGAGTAGAAATCCCATTGGCTCCCAATAGGAGGTGGGTTTCTGGACCACACTAAGACTGCTGAAGTCTTGCCCATTTGAAAATACCAGGAAACCTAAGCTCAGTGCCCCAGGGTATACCTGCACCATCCACCCCCAGTGGCAGATACCAGCAGAGCTGGGGTGCCCACAGGGCTCCCGCTCTCACACCCCAATCTGGTTACTGACAGACCTAGGGCAGACCCTCCCCATAGTCAGCCTGGCTCCAGGCTCACTCGTCTCAGGAGAGGAGATGGTGACAGCTCTGCACAGCTGGACGTGAAAAGTGAGAAATTTCACATCTCCCTGCAGAGCCTGCCCCATTCCTGAGAGCCTCAGGGATCGTCCTCACCATAGAGCTGACCTGGGGCATGAAAGCCCCTTAAAGACTGACCTATCAGTCTTCCCTAACCCAGGCACAGGTCTGCCAAGGCAGGCTCATGACATTGCTGGGCTCTGGTCAGTGTGGGCACCCTAATCGGCAGACCAACTGTAACAAAAGGTGCTGTTGCATGCAGCTTGGACAGCGCCAAGGAGATGGATTGAGGATCCCAAAACACCCTGGGCTTGGGGTCTCACATGGCTCAGAGACCAGCTCTGACCAGGACCCAGGGCACATAGTGTGCTGGGCTATATGCAGCAAAAGGAAAAGACAGCAGGGATGCACTGATTCTTCCTGGTCACAGGAACAAAGCCCACCTTCAGGGCACTCTGAAGGTGGCAGAAGTGGCTGTAGCAAACACAGTTCTCCAAGGAGGGCTCTGGGGTCACTGATACGGGGTCAGGGTCACTCACCTGCGTGTCCTCGGGCTCTTCTGAATTCTGGAATCAAGTAGCAGAGAGAGAGGTGAGAATTCACACAGCAGAGTCACCACAGCAAGACTCAGTGCTGACAGTAGGACAAATCCTGCTGTCCATGTTTGCCCAAACAGCTGAAACTGCACAGGAATTGGGGCAAGAGAGGAGTCAGGGCTGCAGCATTTGCCCCACAGCCCTGCAGAAGCCCATGGAGAACCGAAATATTTCCAACACTGGGAGTCCCAGGTGGAGGGGACCCTCAGCACCTGAATCCTGTCACAGCAGCCTGGCCCAGAAGGGTGGGCCGTGGTCCTGTCTGGGATGGGAAATCCCAGCATCCAGGGGCACCAGGGGGTTTGGTGTCACTGTGGAGCTATTGCTGCTCCATGCCCTTATGTTTGCAGGACGTCTCAATTTGCAGCCTCCCCTTCTCAGCAGTCCCCGCTTGTCCCCTCTGTGTCTGGGTGTTTTTGTCTCCAACTGCTGTCATCTCACAGTAACACGCACCAACCTGACTGCACAGCACAAGCTCCCAACAGACCCACCCCAGGCCTCCTCCTGACAGGGCCCAGAGACAAGAATGGACAAAGATCTGACTTCCCTTGGCTGTTCTGACAGATGCCCTTCCCACATGTCCCCTGCGGGCGTCTCTCCTCCGAGTATCACATCACACTGCTCAGCCCAGAACCCCAACAAAACGGAACGGGGACCCGTTGACTGCTTCCTCCCCTTCAGCATTTGTCCAGGACTCTCACCTTTCTCTTCAGCCAGCCCCTCTGCAAGAAAAGAGGACAAGCCACATATTAGTCCCCATTGGGATTTTTTTTATTCACAATTGGCACTGGTAAGGACTCCCAGGACTTTTCCTGTGCTGACTCCCCTAGAGAGCTGGTGAGGATGGGGACTAACACACAAGCTGCCAGAGTCCCAGGGGCTCAGGTGGACTCATCAGACATCCTCCCTGAAGGCCCAGGACTGCGGGCACTGAGGATCTGGCTCTGAATCCAACTGTAGTGACGTCTCTCCGGGCAGCCAAGACCCTCCCCAAAAATCCCTTGCCCACCCTTCTGAACCACAGGGGATGCACTGGGGAGGGCTCTTCCCCCACACTGATGGGTATTGTCACAGAGCAGGTGCATGTTGGACGGCACTCTCACTTTCAGCCCCTACATGCACCCAGGAAAGCTCGGAGCAAAATGGCTGCTTCCCTTCACAACAGCTTTCCTGGAGCTCCACAATCCGGCCAAACCCTCCCCATGAGCACTCCCTGGGGTTGCTCGGGGAATTCATCTCAGGCCTCCCCAGACCCCTGCTGGCAGCTACTGCACCAGCACAAATGCCTCTGGGAAGCTCTCACCCTGTGCACATCTATTGACATCGGGGCATCTGGGTCTACAGTTCCAGCTCTGAGTGTCAGGATCTGCACATTAAGCAGCAAATCCCAGAGCGAAAGAAACACAGGACACTTTTGTATTGCCAGGGCTGCCAAGAGCACCAGGCCTGTGCTAGAGGGCCCAGGGCCTGAGCAGGAGGCAGCAGAACCACACAGATGGGAAATGACAAATAATGAGCTCCTCTTCAATCATCCCCATGGAGTCCACCCCGCGCAGCCCTGCAGAGCTGGGGCGCCAAGGGCTTTCCCAGGACATGGACCACAGGCCGCCAAGGCCAGCTCTGGTCCTCTGGACACATGAATGCAAGGGCTCCCATAACCCAGCTCCACAATTTCTCCCAGAGGACCCTCTCCTCTTCTCCCAGTACAATGAGACAGCGGCTCTGGAAATGCCCCTTACTCAGGAATCCCGTCAGAGCCTCCTCCAGCTTGTTCTCTCCAGGGAAATCCCAGATTGTCTTCTCCAGCTCAGGGAACTTGGGGGCTGGATGCAAAGGTGTCCCCTCCTTGGCCCTGCAGAGACACAAGGGCAATTATTCCTCTCAAACCTCAACCAGAAGCCCCCACATCTTCAAGGCTACAAAGGGAAATGGGTGGGACACAAGGCAGAGACAGGGTCTGAAAGGCCTGGCGGGGCCTGTGCAGTCTGCTGGTTCCCAACCCTGGGGACCGAGAGGTGATATTTGTATTCAAGTTTCTAGTAGAGCTATTCCAGCAGAGCTCAACCAGCAAACTCTTCCTGTGCAGCCACAGCTCACACCAGCAAAGCAGCGCTGTTCCCTCTACAGCTTGCACCAGTGTCGGGGGCGAAAGCTGTACTGGGAATGAGCTGGTTTGTGGTGTGGCTGAGTTTGTCCCAGGGCTTTCATCCAGACAGCTGCACTGTGCAGGGGTTGGAGATGTTCACACTCCTAACAGGCCCTGGCCTTGGTCCATCCTCAGAGAAATGCAGACCAGGCAATGCCAGCCAGAGCCCCTCTGACATGTGGCCTGACCCAGGGCACTCTGGAGCAGTGAAAAGCTGCTCCTGGGACTGAGGGGCCTGTTCTCCAGGCCCAGCTGCCCCTCCCTTTCATTCCCAGCCTAAAAGGGGCCGGGGCCGTTTTGGCCCACGGACCCTGTCCCACTAGGGCCTGGGCTGAGACACTCGGTTCCCTCTCCGCAAACCCCGTGTCCCTCAGACAGGACAGACTTGCAGCCATTACAGAGGCCAGATCCCAACCAGGCCATGAGGACAGGCTTATTGAACCCAGGACTGTGGGGCAATCCCCTGCTCAGGATGGGTCACAGGGTGGCAACAGCAACCCCAGGGCCACATGGATAGAGGCTGGGTCCAGGGCTGAGAATGGCCCAGGGGTAGGTGCTGGTGGCTGAGGCTGTAGCCTGGTGTTGGCCAATGGGAGAGGAGGGGTGAGATGAAACCCAAACGTACCTGCTCACAGTGCTTCTGACATCCTGGCGGGGACAAGAAACAGAACAGAGAGTCACTGTCACAGCCCAGCCCGTCCTTGTGCTACCAGGAGCAGCCCCACTTATAACTGTTGCTCAATGGGGATGGTTGCCCTTCTGGGCTGGGCCTGGGGCATAGGGCAGGAGCTGGAGCAACCTTTCACCACCCTGCCCTGCCTCCCTGACTGCCCCAATCCGTGTCTCCTTGCAGCTTCAGTCCTGGGTCCCTGCATCACCCTGCCAGCTCCCTGGGATTCAGAGGCTGTCAACTTTCTACACTGGGTGCTGGGTACATCTGATGCAGTCTCACCTGCAGGAGCTCAGGCGCTGGCTGCTGGCACTTCCCCTCCAGCTCCGTGATCAGGGCACTCAGGCGGGCAGTCTCGTCGTGCAGGCAAGTGGCATTTTCCTCCCTCCTCCTGACAATTTCTGCATCCAGCTCCCCCAGCCGGGCCAGGAGGACACGCTCGCGTTCATCCAGGAGCTGGCGCAGCCCATTGCACTCAGACACCACCAGCTGCCTCTCCAGATCCGTCTGCCTCTGGGATGGGCAGAGTCATGAAGGAGCAGGGGGAAGGAGAGGTGGGAAATGGACAGTCAGGGAGATGGCAGCAGTCTTTTCCAGGATGCAAGAAATGCCTCATTCACACGCCACAGTGTCAAGTCCAGGGCATTTCTGGGGAATGCAGCCCTCTCAGTACAGGAAGGGAATTTCTCAGGGCTCCCAACCACCCCAGCACTGCGGCTGCAGCAGGTCCCCCATGATGCAGGGGTTTGCAGGGCAGAGCCCTGAGAGCACAGCACTGCTGCGACTCATCCATGACGTAGAAGCCGTCCCCCTTGCAAGGGCCCTGCCTGACCTGCTGAAGGGGCTCCCAGACCCTCGTCCAGGCCCAGCACCTGCCCTGCCCTCCCCTCCCTGCCCAGCCTTGGGGAGCAGGGCTGCACAATGCTTTCATTACACCTGTAAAAATTGTCAGGATCCACCTGGATTTCAGGGCTGTCACTCCTGATTTACACCAGGGAAGTGAGACCATTCTCATGGTTGGCCATGCGCCATTTATCTGACCCTGAACTTTGCACGGCTGCAGACCTGAACATCTTTCGTCCCCTCCCAACTTCTCCGACATGGAGCAGCACCGAGACCCCCGCCCTGCTGCCACCACTGCCCTCCCTGCGCCGGGCACCTACCAGGAGCTTTCTGGTCTCTTGCTCCCAGGCGCGTTTCAGGCCCTGCAGCTCCTCTCTCTGCTGCCTCAGGCGCTCCACGTGGCTCTGGATTTGCTCCTGCAAAGACAGGAAATAGTTCTGATGTCCGGTTTGTGCCCTGCAGGAAAATCCTCCCTGCACAGAGCAAGGCTGCATGAGCACTTCCCACAGGCCTGAGCCACAGAGCGAGCGACCCCAGCTGCAAGGGGACTCCTGGCCAGGGAAGTGGACCTGCCCCGTCCCTCCCAGACCCACTGTCTCCCGCCAGGTGCCTGCGCCCCGATCTCGGCAGGTCCCGGCTCTGGTCCAGGCTGATCAGACGCGCACGGGGGTGCCTGACTGCAGAGCAGCCGGAGCTGTGACTCCCAGGCCCGGGACAGCTCTTCCCTACCTTGTAGTCCTGAGCAGCCTCCTCGATGGGAACCGCTGTGTGATTTCTGTGCGCCCGGGACTCCCTGCAGATCACGCAGATGGGGGCTTCGTCCTCTTCGCAGAAGAGCTTCAGAGGCTCCTGGTGCCTCTCGCACATGCGCTGCCCCTCGGGCTCCTTCTCCGCCTGCAGCCTCAGCCCCTTCACCAGCTGCACCACGTTGCCCAGCTGCCGGTTGGGCCGCAGGTTTCTCCGCGGGGCCGTTTCCCTGCACTGGGGGCAGCAGCAGTTTGGCTCCGACTCCCCCCAGCACTGGTCGATGCAGGCGCGGCAGAAGTTGTGCCCACAGTCAAGAGTCACCGGATCCATAAAATAGTCCAGACATACGGAGCAGGTCAGCTCCTCCTGGATGCTCCCTGCCAGGTCCCCCGCAGCCATGGCTCCTGGGCAGAGAGGAGCAGCAGCAGCTCAGCTGGTTTCACTTTCCTGAGTGCAACAGGCTGTGCAGCCTGGGGCAGGGCCTCTCTCTTCCTGCTTTCCCAGCAGGGCCTGGGCGGAGCCCCGGGTGCTAGCAGCCCCTGAGCCCAAGCAGAGCCAGCCAGGGCAGGGGAACGGTTAACACCAGCCCATCCCACACCCAGGTGTCTGCAGGGTCTGGGGCTGCCTCCAGCTCAAGAAACCCCTGTGCTGTGGGGCTGCAGCCTGGGCTGCTCTCAGGGGCAGCTCCTGGCTCTGAGTTAGGGACAGAGTCTGCCACAAGTTGCTGCAGCCTCCTCCACTGACCCAGGAGCCCGGGCTGAGCAGGGCTCTTCCCTGAGCGGGGTCTGTGCAGGGAAAGACCGTCCTCCTCTGCCCGGCCCAGCGGGGACTTTCTCTGGGGTTGGAGCCAGCCCCATGGGCATGGACTCTACTCTAGAAGTGGGCAATTATTTCAGGTGGCGGGCAGCTTAACGAGTTTTGCTGAGCTATTGAGGGCCACGTGGGTAGCCCTGCCCTGTGGCTGCCATCTTGGAACCAGAACTCCCCCCCCAAATCCCTGACCTTTGCCACCAGAAACCCCTCTCCTTGCCCCCCCCCCCCACATACTCCTTTTGGAGGGGATGTGCCACCTTAGCACCAGAAAAAACCCCAAATCATACACTAAAAGTCAAACACCTACCATAACATATTTAAATTTTATTACAAAAAATATTTTTCTCGTGATTTGTGTTTGTGCACTGTAGACAGGGAACCCCCACTTAACGCTGTCTCGCTTAGCGCTATTTCGCTATAACACACATTTAAAATTGATACCTGATTGCACTTAGCACTCGGCGAGTGTCGTTATAGCGCTTGCGGGTGCTATCTTGGGTCATTAAAAACAATTGCGGTTGCCATCTTGGGTCATCAAATACTTTTGGTTTCACATAACGCACATTTTGCTTAAAACTTGGTTTTTCAGGAACTGATGAACAGCGCTAAGCGGGGGTTGCCTGTATAGATGTGATTTCATAATAACTCAAAAATAAATCCTTGGTTTTGTATATTGTGTGGTATGTGTATATGGCAGGTCTGTGTGTGTGTGTGTGTATGTGTGTTTGAATATGGTGGGTGTGGCCTGTGAGGTACGTGGGGTGTGTGTGTGGTAGGATGTGGGTTTGTGTATATGTGGGGGGTCATGGTGGCAGGGTGTGGGTGTGAGGGAAGGTGGGGGTATGGGGATGTAGCAGCAGGTGGGGCGCTCAGGGCGTAGGCGCCCGGTGGGGTGCAGCTCTGGCCAGTGTTGCACAATGCAGCGAGCGGCACAGCATCCCCTGGGCTCATAGGTGACACATGGGGGGGCACATGCCCCCCCCCCCCCAGAGTGCTGGTGTCCCCCTGACAGCGAGCGCTCCGGCTGGTAGGGGGTGTCACAGGCCAGTAGGGGGCGCTCCTGCATTGAGCTGCCCACCTCACTGCACCTGACTGCCTTCCAGGCTCCGAGTGCCTCCCTGGAGGTGCCTCACATCCAGCCAACCCCCTTCCTGGAGTACACTCACAAGCCTGAGGGGTAAATGCTGCCACCATCCAGCATCTGGACTGATCTGGGACCTGTGCCCTCTGGGAAACAGGACTAGTAGTCCTTCAGGGTACTTGACCCACTGCAAGAACTTGGGGTGCTTCCTTCAGTCTGAAGCACAGATAGTGGCTTCCCTTAGTCAGCTGAACGAAGAGGACCCCAAGGCATAATCTAGACCCTCTCCTAATAAGTCTCCAATGCTAGGTACAAAGGAGAACTTTACTGGTTACAAGGAGTAGGGTTGGACTAGGGTACAGGGTAGCGCAATATCAGAGAAATACCTTAGAGCGAACAGTGTCATGGTAGCCCTTGATCGTGCATCTGAGTTACTGCAAGCTATATATCTAGTTAGATCTCAGGTAGCTTACTTACTAGTATCCTCTGGAGGAGGTGGAGATTCCCTCTGGAGGCAGGCGGTTCATTGACCATGAGTTTCAAAAGAGAGAGCGAGTTTCAGATGGTTCACCTCTTCTCTCTGAGTTCTCAGAGTCAGTCCTTCACTTACACAGACCTTATGACCTCATGTACCTGATCCAATGAAGGCCAGCAACTGTTGGCTGCCAGCCAACCAATTTGAAATGCATCACTGGTTGCTGGGTAGACTGGCAGGGTCTGTAGCCCCTTCCCAGTCAAGTTGGCATTGCTTAGAAGAATAGGGAGTTTAAGCCCCCACCCAGGCATGTGATATAGACAGGGGAAACAGGTTTCCCCTCCCTCAGGAATGTATCCAGCTCAGGTTATAAGTTATGATTAGCCTAAACTACCAGCAGTGGTAGCTGTGTGATACTGTTTTCGTTTACCATGTAGGAGATCCAAGTTCAAGTCCCAGCTGGGTCAAGTAGAAGTGAGTGAAGTGACAGGAGGGAAAACTCTTGTCTGCATGGAAGAGGTCATTGTGTTTTGTCCTGCTGTCTGGCTTAAGGGTTAGTGGGGTGAGCGCCTCGGCAGAAGGTTGGGTGTGGGCACTGTTGCGGGCCAGTAGGGGGCGCTCCTGCGTTGAGCCGCCCACCTCCCTGCACCCGCCCACCTTCCAGGCTCCGAGTGCCTCCCTGGGGTGCCTCCCGTCCGGCCGACCCCTTCCCTGGAGCACACCCGCTAGCCTGGGGTTCCCGCTGCCACCATCCAAGGCTCTGGACTCACTTCTGGCTCTGCGCACCTTGGAGAACACAGGCCTGATCGTCCAATGGGTACTAGACCCAATACAGGCACTTGGGGCACTTCCCCAAGTCAGGGGCTGATTAGGAAAACCTCCCTTAGTCCACAGACCTAAGGGGCCTCCTCGAACAGGGTAAAAGGTAGAGCAGTATCATGGAAATATCAGAGGAATCTTGGAGGAATCCCATAGAGCAAATCTGTATGGCTGATGGTAGCCTTTTGATCACGCATCTGAGTAACAGTAAGCTAAATATCTAGTCTGATCTCGAGTAGCTTACTCACACGCATTGTCCAGAGGTGGTTGGAGTTTTCCTCTGGCCTGGTGGGTGGCAAATTGGCTTAGTGGTTGCACCCAGAGAGTGGTAATAGATGGGCTGGTATCAACCTGGAAGGATGCGGGTAGTGGGGTCCTGCAGGGTTCGGTCCTTGGACCTGTACTCTTCAAGATCTTTGTCAGTGACTTGGATGTGGGTGTGAAGTGTACTCTGCCCAAGTTTGCAGATGATACTAAATTGTGGGGTAAAGTGCACGCCCCGAAGGATAGGGAACGATTGCAGGCAAACCTGGACAGGTTGGAAAAGTGGGCAGTACACAATAGGATGCAGTACAACAAGGACAAGTGCAGAGTGCTGCACACCTCCTGGCTGGGAAGTGACCCTCTCAGCAGCACAGAAGCGGAAAGGGATCTTGGAGTCATAGTGGACTCCAAGATGAACATGAGTTGTCAGTCTGACGAATTCACCAGCAAAGCTAACCACGCTTTATCATGCATCAGCAGATACGTGACAAATAGATCCAAGGAGGTGATAATCCCCCTCTATGCGGCATTGGTCAGACTGCAGTTGGCGTACTGTGTCCAATTTTGGGTGCCATGCTTCACGAAGGATGTGGCTAGACTTGAAAGGGTCCAGAGGAGGGCCACTCATATGGTTAGGGGCTTACAGGACAAGCCCTACGAGGAGAGACTGAGGGACCTGGACCTCTTCAGCTTCCGCAAGAGAAGGCCGAGAGGTGATCTTGTGGCCGCCTACAAATTCATTAGTGGGACGCAGAAAGGGATCGGAGATGCTCTGTTCATCAGGGCACCTCTTAGGGTAACAAGGAACAATGGTCACAAACTGACAGAGAGCAGATTTAGGCTAGATATCAGGAAACACTCCTTCACAGTGAGGGTGGCCAAAATCTGGAATGGGCTCCCAAGGGAGGTGGTGCTGTCCCCGACCTTGGGGTCTTTAAGAGAAGGCTGGATAGGCATCTGGCTGGGGTCGTCTGACCCCAGAATCTTTCCTGCCTAGGCAGGGGGTGGACTTGATGATCTGTTGACGTCCCTTCTGACCCTAACATCTATGAATCTATGAAGCAGATGGGACCAGAGGAGTCTGCCCTCTGCAATGACCATGGTAACCAAATTGTCAGATAGCAGAGTTTGGGGAGAGACAGAGATGGTATTCTGCCACAGGGGGGCATGGAGAGTGCTAGTGCCCGCCCTGAATTGGCTGCACCAGTGGCACATGCCACATGTGGAATTGCCGGCACTTATGCTGCCGCCGTGCTGCTGGCACGCTCAGCGACTGGCCGTTGGGGGACAACCCCCCTCCCCAGTCACTAGCTGGCTGCTGAGAGACCCCCCTCTCCCCCCAGTCATGCCCTGCTGGAACCCCCCCAGACTTGGGAGGCACCAGTTGCCCACGCCCAGGGTGTCTGTATCGCTGGCACTCCCTGCCACTCACACACAGCACAGAAGGAAATCCCCATGTGCTGGAGCTGGCTGCGTTTCCTGCCGGGGGTGCACAGCACAGGAGGGAAGACCTGCAGGCTGGAGCCCATTGCCCCATGGGCCAGATGAAAGTGCTTAGTGGGCCACATCAGGCCTATGGGCTGTATTTTGTGCACCCCTGCTGTACACACACGGCCTCAGGGGCCTCGGGTCTGGCAGTCCCTGGCAATGCGAGTCCTTGTGGTTATAAGATCCCAGCAGGAGGAAGGAGCAGAGCTAATAGCAATGAAGCTGTGCCTGGTGCTGCTGGCCTGTGATCAGCCATCATGCATGTCCCTGGTGGCTGCCAGCCCTTCCAGGCAAGTCCAGGATGTCACAGTTAGTCTCTGCAGGGAGAGGCGAGTTTCCCCGCCTTGCCTTGGAGCTGGGCAGCAGGAGCAGCTGCTCAGCCCCGTCATGCCAGGAACTGCAGGCAGGGCAGCCTGGGCACACGGCAGTGCCAGGCAGGAGGTCGATGGTGCCAGAAGGTCCCGTGGCCATTGAAGCAGCAGCAGAGGAGGGGCCATTCTCCTCATCCGGCCTTTTGCGGGGGAAATGGCCAATACCTGCAGCAGGTTTGTATGAAGGGTTTTGCAAATGGTTCAAATGCAGCAATTGGCTCTGATTCCTACCTGCCCCAGCGCCCCCAACACCCAACTCTAGACAGTGACCTCCAGACAAAACACCCCACGTGCCCCTCACCCCACACATCGCTCTCAGACCAAAACTGCTTCTCTGAATGCACCCTGGACTCACCCTTCAAATCCCCCCACCCCAGCTGGGAACATCCCACCACCTCTGGGAGCTCGTCTCTGGGCCCAACTCTGCCATGGGAGCCGGGCTCCAACATGCCACGGCTTCATCAAACACCTGCTCTGAGCTCTCTTGTCCACGTTAGGCGGCTTCTGAGTCTTGTTCGAAAATGCTCGCATTTGGCTTGCAGGGCAAGGAGCAAGGAACAGGTCTCAGGGATCTTTGCTCTATCAAGGGAGAAAAATCAGCACCCTCTGCTCAGAGAGGACACACTGTTGTATATTTATTACACATAAGAGGGGTCTGCACCTTCAGGTGAGTGCTGGGATCTTTGGAGGATCTGGTCATGGCTCCTAATCCAGGACGGAGGGCAGAGCTGCATTGATGGACACACCGGCTGGCACCGTGTTCAAGGTGTTCATCATTTCCCAGCCACCTGACAGCCCCAGCCAAATTTAGAGCTGATATCATTACACTGGAGACATGATTGACCCATTTTGTGTCAAAGATGGATGCTGTATCCTGGAAAGATGGACCCAAGACTACAGGACTGGGCACTACCAGAGTCCCTAAAACCCAGGCTTTTATGGGACTGCGGCAGGACATGAGCCACTGCCTGTGGGAAAATTTCTGACTGAACTGAATCAGTATTTTGTAAAGGGGCAGCCTTTTTCCAAGTCTGCCTCCAAGCCCCGAATTAGTGTGGCTTCAAACAAGGAGTCTCCTCTATTACCCTCCCAGTGAGAACTGACTTGGCTGCAGGAGAAATTAAGAAAATCCTTTTGGCATGGAAAAGCAGGTGAAAGGCTAGAAAGGAGCAGCATATTTGGTGTGGGAAAAAAAGGGCTGGCACAGAGCTGAAATCAGGAAGGCCAAAGCATAATTGGAGTTACAGCTAGCAAGGAACATGAAGGGTGACAAGAAGGGTTTCTACAAGTATATCAGGAACAAGAGGAAGGCCAGGGAAAGTGTGGATCCCCTACTGAATGGGGAAGGCAGCTTAGTGACAGATGATGTGAAAAACACTGAAGTGCTCAGTGCCTTTTTCACCAGTCTTCACGGGCAAGTTCAGCTTCCAGAGTACTGCAACTGGCAGTGCAGTTTGGAGAGGAGGTGAGCAACCAACAGTGGCAAAACTGCAGGTTAGGGAGTATTTAGAAAAGCTGGAGTCAACAAGTCCATGGGGTCAGATGGCTGAAGGGTCGTACTCAGAGGGTGGTCGTGGATGGGTCATATTTGACCTGGGGGAAGTGGGCAGTGGAGTCCCCCAGGGCTCGGTCCTTGGGCCCGCACTGTTCAATTTCTTTATCAGCGACTTGGACGACGGGGTGAAAAGCAACCTGTTCAAATTTGCTGATGATACCAAAATTTGGGGTGAGGTGGGCATGCTAGTAGGGAGGAAAAGACTGCAGCAAGACCTGGACAGGTTGCAGGGGTGGGCTAACAAAAACAGGATGTGTTTCAATAGTGACAAGTGCAAGGTTCTGCACTTGGGCAGTAGTAACCAGCAGCACACTTATAAGATGGGAAACTCCCTTCTTGAGAACACGGGGGCAGAAAGGGATCTTGGAGTCATCATTGACTCCAAGATGAACATGGGCCAACAGTGCGAGGTCACGGTCAGCAGGGCTAACCGGATCCTATCGTGTATCCACAGGTGCATCTCAAGTAGGGCCAAGGAGGTGATCCTCCCCCTCTACGCGACACTGGTCAGGCCGCAGCTGGAGTACTGTGTCCAGTTCTGGGCACCCCACTTCAAGAGGGATGTGGACAACATGGAGAGGGTCCAGAGGAGGGCCACCCGCATGATCCGGGGACAGCAGGGCAGACCCTACAATGAGAGGTTACGGGACCTGGGCCAAAAGTTGTTGGAGAGTAGGTTTAGATTAGACATCTGTAGGAACTACTTCACAGTCAGGGCGGCCAGGATCTGGAACCAACCTCCAAGGGAAGTGGTGCTGCCTCCTACCCTGGGGGTCTTTAAGAAGCGGCTCGATGCCTACCTGGCTGGGGTCATTTGAGCCCAGTTTTCTTCCTGCCCAGGCAGGGGGGTGGGCTTGAAGATCTACAAGGTCCCTTCCAACCCTACTTCTATGATTCTATGATACATCTGAGGGTGTTGAGGGAATTGGCCAATGTGATTGCAGAGCCATTGGCCATCATCTTTGAAAACTCATGGCAATTGTTAGAGGTATCAGATGATTTAAAAAGGGCAAATATAGTGTCTATCTTTAAGAAAGGGAAGAAGGAGGATCCAGGGAACTACAAACCTGTCAGTCTCACCTCGCTTCCTGGAAAAATCATGGAGCAGGTCCTCAAGGAATCCATTTCTAGGTACCTGGAGGAGAAGAAGTTGATTAGGAACAATCAGCATGGATTTACCAAGGATAAGTCATGCCTGACCAACCTGATTACCTTCTATGATGAGATGACTGGCTCTGTGGATACGGGAAGAGTGGTGGATGTGATGCACCTTGACTTTAGCAAGGCTTTTGATACAGTGTCTCTCAACGTTCTTGCAAGCAAGCTGTGGAAGTATGGGTTGGATGAATGGTCTGTAAGGTGGATAGAAAACTAACTGGATCACTGGGCTCAGAGGATAGTACTCAATAGCTTGATGTCTAGTTGGCAGCCAGTATCAAGTGGCGTACCCCTGGGGCTGGATTTCTTCAATTTTTTTATCCATGAACTAGAAGATGGGATGGAGTGTCCCCTCAGGTCTCAGTGGCAGCAGATGACAGAACAAGAAGCAACAGTTCAAGCTGCAGAAAGGGAAGCTTAGGTTGGATATTAGGAAAAACTGTCTCACTAGGAGTGTGGTGAAGCACTGGTACAGGTTACCTGGAGAGGTGGTGGAGTCTCCATCCTTAGAGGTTTTTTAGGCCTGGCTGGACAAAGCTTTGGCTGGAATGATCTAGTTGGGGTCTGGTCCTGCTCCGAGCATGGGGTTGAACTAGATGACCTGCTGAGATCCCTTCCAACCCTACTTTTCTACACTTCTATGATTCTATATGAGGAGAGACTAAAAAAGGTCAGATTTAGAAAATTTAGAAATTTAGAAAACAGATGCTTGAGGGAGGACATAAGTGTTTCCAAAATACTATATGGTGAAGAGAAAGTCAATACGGATTTATTATTGACTCTCTCTCCCCCAATACAAGAACAAGGGGTTACACCATGAAACTAGCAAGGAGTAAGTTTAAAATGAACAAAAGGAAGTTCTTTGTCATCCAGCATGGCATTCAAGGGTTGGACTCATTGCCACTAGACACGGTGGATGCTGAGAATTTAGCCAGATTCAAAAAGGGAGTGCATACATTCTTGGAGGAAAGGGGCATCAGTAGCTACTGAGTGCAGGAGTGAGGGGCACGGCCTCTGAATGCGAACTTCGTAGACCTTATATGTTGAAGACTGCAAATGAGAGGGGAACAAAAGAAAAAACCTGGTCACACCCAGCTTAATCTCCCTTTCAGCATTCACTTTCTGCCATGGTGTGACAGGAGACTAGGCAAGATTGACCTATGGCTTGACCCAGTAAATGGCAAGTCTTATGTTCTTACATTCCCTTACATGCTGTTTCCGCATTTTGAGAAGGCAAGAAAATTCAAGGAGACGCGGGTAGAAAATGCAACGCTTTTATTCACCATGTTAAAGGAAACAGCTAAAAAAGAAAAAAAAAATCAACAAAAATCTATATATTAGTTTAAAAAATTTGTCTTTTTATCTCTACTCTCCAAATATGTACAGATCCCATTTCCAAATAATAACAACAATAACAACAATAATAATATTAATAATACAAAAGCTACTGAGATCAGCAAGGGAGGGGGAAAAATGGAGAAAAATTTCGACTGTGTTGTGTGAGAAGAGGGAAGGACTTTAAACAAGGAGACAAAACACAGACACGTCCAAGCCACTGAACCTATGTCACAGCCACTAATATTTACTCCCTGGAAACAAAACGAGAAGACAGTGGGGTTTTTTTTCAAGGGAACCCAAGGGAATTAAGCACCAAAAGCTCAAGCTATTTGAATGAGTGCTGCATTCCCCTAGGCCTCCTTTAAGAAGCTCCAGCTTGAGAGTTTTAAAAGCAAAGGGTGATCTTACAGTGTTAAGGCCCCTGATTAGCAAAAAAGCTCTTTATGGGGTGTCCCTGATATACCGTATCTTTTCACATACCACATGTCCCCAGTAAGATAGACACCTCTTTTTTGGGAAGGCAGAATGAAAAATACAAGATTTTTTTTTCCAGAGTTAAGGCCACATACAGTAGGGATAGAGCATTAACTTCTGCTCGTTTGCCCTCCTTTTTCTGTTCAGGCCAAAGGTCTGGTCTTAATCCTTTCAATGCTAAACTGTAAGCAGCTCAACCAAAAGCTGAAACTCTAGTTGTTACTGAACATTGCACTCCATGGGCGGATTTAAAATGTTGCAAAAAGCTTCAAAACAGGGCTGTGAAATAGGGGAAGAGAGACCGTAGGAGCTACATTGCACATTCTTCAGCACTCTGGGTTAGTGGAACATCAAGACCATTAAAAAGGAAAGAGAGTTGTTAACACCCATGGAGTGAAGAGCAATTCATAGATTCCAGTGAGCTATCAAGTCAATCAACTCCCTTAACACTGCTTGAATAGAAATGCCACGGCTGCTATTCTGGGCAGAAGGATCAACTTTCCCACTTAAGATATGCACCCCCATTTTGAAAGTCTCATTTGAAAGGGGGGAGGAGTGTGTGGTATACAAGTATATACGGTACTCCAAAAATGTGTTTGCATTGGTACACCAGTGAAAAATCTCCTCTCCTTCCCAACAGCAACCAGACAGGATCTATAGCCCTGTCTCATGGGGGAAGAGGGAGTTTGATGACGAAGGGGATGGGCCGGATTTCTCTGCTGGAGTCTTCAAAGTACCATGAGAGCCAGCACTGGTATCATGTGAGTTGGAGGTCTCTGGATCAGCCCCATGGGGCCATTGAAGCTGAGTCGTGGCTCCCAGCCTCCAGCGTTGCAGTCAGTAGTGTCTCCCATATATCCAGTGTTTGGCGATGCCTCACAGCACCGCAAATACCCAGTGTTAGCCCAGTCTGAGGGAACATCACATGAGGCAGGGACCTGACCCCCACCCCTCCAACCCATCACAGTCCTTTGAGGGTGGGGAGTGAAGCAGCGGGGTGGTGGAGGTCAGCCTCTCTGGGAGTAGAGGAAGGAAAGGAAACACCCTTGAGCAGGGAAGGGCAAAAGAAAGGGAATGGGTGAAAGAGGGATGATAGGAGATGGGGAAGTGGGTGGAGAACAAGACACAAGACAGATGGGGAATGGAAGAACTGAGGAGAGATGGAGACAAAAAGCAATAGAGGGACGAGTGTGCATGAGGTGGTGGAGTGTATGGTCAGAAGATAGACAGATAGATAGCTAGATAGCGTAGAGTGTATAAGCAGTAGGGAGGTAGATAGATAGACAAAGTATGAGGGACTATATATAGACAGACATACAGCTGTGAGTATAAGGAAGACAGACAGATAGAGAGACAGCCGTATATGAGGGAGACGGACATGGATGGGAGTAAGGAAGATGGATAGACAGCTGTAAATGAGGAAGACAGACAGATGGGTGTAGAAGATAAATGAGTGTAGAAGCTAAATAGAAAGACAAGGAAGGCACGGGTAGATGGATGTTGGAGGGGACTAAATGACCTCTGAAGGTCCCTTCACCCTACTTCGCTATGATTCTATGAGAAAAGATATAGATAGGACAGACATACAGTGTCTGAGGAATACAGATACATAGATGGGTCTGAGGAAGATACAAAGCTGTCTGTCTGTCTAAGTGGAAGACATATGTAGGAAGTAGAAAGTGTGAGGAAAACAGACAGATGGACAAATAGTTGTGTATGAGGAAGACAAATATGTAGAAGTGTGTGAGGCAGATACATAGCTGTCTGCCTATCTTCCCCACATCTAGCCACGTACCTGTCTTCCTCATACACATCTGTCTATCTGGCTATATAAGAGAGATACATAAAGGGGTGTGAGGCAGATAGAGACACAGATAGGCAGCTGTATATGAGGAAGACAGAGAGGTAGATGGGGTTGGACTAGATGGCCTTTGGAGGTCCCTTCCAGCTCTACTTCTCTATGATTTGATGAGGAAATAGATAGATAGGACAGACAGACAGTTGTATAGGAGGAAGACTGATACATAGATTGGTGTGAGGAAGATATACACAGCTGTCCACCTGTCTGTCTGTGAGGAAGACAGACAAAGAGAAGTGTGAGGAAGACAGATAGATGGAAACCTGTGTGTGAGAAAGAGAGATACATAGAGGGGTATGAGGCAAATAAAGACAGACAGACAGCTGTATATGAGAAGATGGGAAGGTAGATGGGTATTGGGGGTTGGACTAGATGACCCCAGGAGGTCCCTTCCAGTCCAGCTTCTCTAAAATGCTATTAGGAAAGAGATAGGAAATATAGACCACTGTATGTCAGGAAGACAGACAAATGGATGGGTATAAGGAAGACAGAGAGATTCAGAGGAGGTAGGCAGAGGAGAAGTGGGACAAGGAATGGGGTGGTAGAGCCAGGGCATCAGGGAGATCCCATGTCCCTAACCCCTCCAGCACCAATATGTCCAGTTCCCAGAGCTGGGCATGGTCTGGCCACCCTCCATCCACCCATCCACCCCTGTAGCTGTGGCCGGAGAGACACCAAGAGGCCTATGCCTAGAAGAGCCACCCCAAATCCCTCCCCCCACTCTGGCATAGCCCAGCTCACACCATATTGAGAGCGTCTTCATTCAGGAAGCGGTGGAGATGCTGGAAGAGGGGACGGTCCTTGGCATCCCGAGCCCAGCATCTCAGCATCACTTCATAGAGGGCCAGGGGGCAGGCTGGGGGCCGTGACAGGTAGACCTAGGTGTGGGGGTAAAGACAGATCAGTGTGGGGGGAGGTCTAACCACCTCATGCCCCCTTCTCATTTCTGCTGCCCCTCCAGGAGGGCTAAAGTTTTAATCCTTTCACATCTGCTCAGCCAAAATCTGAAACTCTTGTTGCTGAGGCTGGAGACTGAACTCTGTGATGCCCCCGTACCTGCTCGCCCTGGTCTCTGAAGAACTGCCCGGCATTCTCGATGACCTGCTCATCGGTGAGTTGGCTGTAGGGCTGCTCCTGGCACAGCATGAGCACCTCCCACAGCGTCACCCCAAAGGCCCAGACATCTGAGGCTGTTGTGAACTTCCCCTGTGGAGCCAGGAAGGGGAGAGGGGCAGGGTGAGTGGGACAGGGGGTCTTGGGTGGGACGCTGAGTGGGCTCCAGGACACATTTCCTTTCCCCCCACCCATTTAGCCACACCCTTACTCCCTAGCCTCCTCCCATCCCCACTGCTTTCACTGAGCCCCTTCCCCTTTGGGACAGCCCCACCCCTTTATTTAGCTCTGCCTGCTCTGGGATAATACCACCCTTCCCTTTGATCTGCTCCTTCTGGGCTAGACCCACCCTTCGTTTAGTCCTACTTCCTCTGGAATAGCCCTACACTGCCTTTAGCTCTGCCTCCTTGGGGATAAATCCCACTTCCCCTTAGCCTCACCCATTGTGGATTAGCTCCACCCTTCCGTTAACTCCGCCCCTTTTCAATCAGCCCCATCCCTTTCTTTTAGTCCCACCCCTTCCATTAGCCTCCTCCCTCAATGCTATTCTTGCCCCTTTTGGTGAACCCACTGCTTCCTTTTAGCTCCACAACCTCTCAGCCAGGTCACACCCTCTTGGGTTTTTATACAAGGGATTCCCTAACCATTCCCTGGCTCCACCCTCTCCCCCAGTTGCTGCCCCTCCTGCATATTAGCTCCACCCCTTTCCCCAAGACACATCCTTTCCCCTTTAGCTCCACCCTTCTCTCCCAGGCTATCAATCGAAGGAAGCCCCTTTCATTCCCCCCATCCTCTGGCTCCATCCCCCTCCCTCATGCCCTAGCCCAGGGGTGGCAAAATGTGGTCTGGGGGCTGGATGTGGCCCAGGAAGCCATTCTATCTGGCCCGCGGGGCCCCTAAAAAATTTAGAAAATTAACATTAATCTGCCCTGGGCTGCCTGTCATGCGGCCCTCGATGGCTTGGAGAAACTCAGTAAGTGGCCCTCTGCCCAAAATTATTGCCCGCTCCTTCCCTAGCCCGTGGACATTAGCCCCGCTCCTCTTCCAAACTCCACCCCTTTCCCCTTTAGCCTCACCCTTCTCCCCAAGCCCTGCCCCCCTGGTCTTACCATAAGGATGCACTCCCAGGCCATCCAGCGGATAGGCAGGACAGCTCGGCCCTGGATGCGGTAGTAGTCACCCGAGTAGAGGTTGCGGCTCATGCCGAAGTCGGCAATCTTGATGGTGAAGCCCTCACCCACCAGGCAGTTGCGTGTGGCCAGGTCCCGGTGCACAAAGTTGAGGGAGGCCAGAAACTTCATGCCTGAGGCAATCTGGGCTGCCACATGGATCAGCGTTGGGTAGCTGGGCCCCAGGGGAGGGAAGGAAGGGGATTAGAGATGGTCCCACAATGCCCTGAGGCAGCTGGGGAGAGGAGAGGCTAGAAATATTTCATAGCTTTCATAGATGTTAGGGTCAGAAGGGACCTCAGCAAATTGTGGAGTCTGACCCCCTGCCCTGGGCA